ACAGGCGTGAGCCACCAGGCCCGGGCCGGTTATTTATTTAATTTAAATTTAAGATGGGGTTTCACCATGTTGGTCAGGCTGGTCTGGAACTCCCGACTTCAGGTGATCCACCTGCCTTGGCCTCCAAAGCGCCTGGATTACAGGCATGAGCCACCATGCCCGGCCCCTTCTCCCTAAATTCTCATCTGTTCCCTAATGATCTCTTGTTTCCCAAAGGGTCCATTTAAAAAAAATCACCATCCTCTCCCTTACACAGCTGGTTTACCTCTTGGGAGTAAATCTTTGTGGGTCTTCACACATATTAAAGACTAAAGAACTGAACTGGTTTTTCTTGATGGATGAGATGGGTCTTTATAAAAATAGCTACTCACACATTCTGTCCTAAGTTCTAGCTATGTTCATTGACACATTTAATGTGCACAATAGCCCTCTAGGGCAGAGCTTCTCTCATGGCCATTTTATAGTTTAGATGACTGAGGACCAGAGAGGTCAAGAAACTATCACCAGGTCACACAGCCAATGGGTGGTGGAACAGTCAAAAACCACAAAGTCTGACTCTAGAGCTTAGCTGTAGAACACAGAGGTGTCTCTTGGAAAACAGAGGTGAAAAATGTATCTGGTTTCCCATGTCACACTAAAGGCAAATTTTGTTTCTGACAATATGCTCCTTTATGGTTCTATTTTTTCATGCCACTCCTCAAGATTAATAAATATGTTCAACTGTGGGCCAGGTGCAGTGGCTCATGGCTGTAATCCCAGCATTTTCGGAGGCTGAGGCACGCAGATCACTTGAGGTCAGGAGTTCAAGAACAGACTGGCCAACATGAAGAAACCCCATCTCTACCAAAAATACAAAAATTAGCCAGGCATGTTGACGTGAACCTGTAGTCCCAGCTACTCAGGAGGCTGAGGCACAAGAATCACTTGAACCCAGGAGACAGAGGCTGCAGTGAACTGAAATCGCACTGTTAGACTCCATCTCAAATACACACACACACACACACACACACACACACACACACATTTAATTGTGATTTCCTTTAGATGTTTATGATTTCAAAATATTAAACATTTGGCCAAGTGCAGTGGCTCATGCCTGTAATCCCAGCACTTTGGAAGGCCAAGGCAGGAGGATTACCTGAGGCCAGGAGTTCAAGACCAGCCTGGGCAATGTAGTGAGACCCTCCTGCCTGCCCCTGCACATCTCTACAGAAAACAGAACATTAGTTGTGTGTGGTGGTGTGGGCCTGTAGTGCCAGCTACTCGGGAGGCTGAGGTGGGAGGATCGCTGGAGCTGGGAGGTAGAGGCTGTAGTGAGCCGTCATCTCACCAGTGCTCTCCAGCCTGAGTGGCAGAGATCCTGTCTCAAAAACCAAACCAAAACAAATTAAACATTCAAATCCCTGGTTTTTTTTTTTCTGCACAGGGCAGGGGAGGGAAGCCTGCTTGTTTTCCAAATGGCAGCCAGTTGTCCAGTCCCTAAGCCACCGATGGACCTGCCATCCCCACCACCACTCTTAACTTGAAATGCCTTCTTCGCCATACACCAAATTCCACTCTTCACTTATCTATTTTTGTCTTTTCATGGATTCTGACGTTCCAGGGCTAGCCCCTACTATGTGGGGTATGATCCTTTATGCCTCACTGTTGGGTGGGGCTAGCTGCTGTCCATCACTCTTTTCTACTTTTTGTTTGTTTGTTTGTTTGTTTGTTTGAGACAGAGTCTCACTCTGTCACCAGGCGCCAGGCTGGAGTGCAGTGGCGCGATCTCGGCTCACTGCAACCTCCACCTCCCGGGTTCAAGCAATTCTCCTGCCTCAGCCTCCTGAGTAGCTGGGATTACAGGTGCACACCACCACGTCCAGATAAATTTTTTTTTGTATTTTTAGTAGAAGACGGGGTTTCACCATGTTGACCAGGATGGTCTCGATCTCTTGACCTGATGATCCACCCGCCTCGGCCTCCCAAAGTGCTGGGATTACAGGCTTGAGCCACTGTGCCTGGCCCTTTTCTACTTTTTTAATGGTTATTTACATGTTTATTCTTTCAGATGAACGTCAGAATCACTTTGTCAAACTACCTCAAAATCCTGTGGGACTTAAGATTGTATCAGTAGGCTGGGCGTGGTGGCTCACGCCTGTAATCCCAGCACTTTGGGAGGCCGAGGCGGGTGGATCACAAGGTCAAGAGATCGAGACCATCCTGGTCAACATGGTGAAATCCCGTCTCTACTAAAAATACAAAACATTAGCTGGGCATGGTGGCGCGTGCCTGTAATCCCAGCTACTCAGGAGGCTGAGGCAGGAGAATTGCCTGAACCCAGGAGGCGGAGGTTGCAGTGAGCCGAGATCGCGCCATTGCACTCCAGCCTGGGTAACAAGAGGGAAACTCCATCCCAAAAAAAAAAAAAAAAAAAAAAAAAAAGATTGTATCAGTAAAATGATACATTGTTTCCAGGAGAATCATCGAGCACAGTTTAGTGGCTTCAAAAGTACAAACCGCTCTCTCTCAGTTCTGCCCGCCAGGAGTCCCAGCTGAGTCCCGCTGGGTGAAAACCAAGGTGCTGGCAGGGCCGGGCCACACTGGAGGCTCCAGGGGAGAATTCATTTTCAGCTTCCCTCCTCCCTTGGCGGAGCTCACAGCATGGGGCTGAGTTCTTCTGAGTCAGGACAGCTCCCAGCTGCCCCTGTCCCCATGTAGGGACCCTTGTGATTATACCAGGAAAACCTAGATAACCCAAGATAATCTCCCCGTCTGAAACTCAGCTGATTGGCACCCTTAATACCGTCTGCGGTGTGAGATAACATTCCTTCGCCAGGTAAGGATGCAGTCATGGCTCCAAGAATGAGCACGTGGACACCTTTGTGGCCTATCACTCTGCCTACAAACACATCCTGCGTTTTCTTTTCTTTTCTGGAGACAGTCATGCTCTGTCGCCCAGGCTGGAGTGCAGTGGCACAATCTCGGCTCACTGTAACCTCCACCTCCCAAGTTCAAGCAATTCTCCTGCCTCAGCCTCCGGAGTAGCTGGGATTACAGGCAGTTGCCACCATGCCTGGCTAATTTTGTATTTTTAGGGTTTCACCATGTTGGTCAGGCTGGTCTTGAACTGCTGACCTCTTGATTCCCCTGCCTTGGCCTCCCAAAGTGCTGGGATTATAGGTGTGAGCATGCCTGGCCTCTTTTTTTTTTTTTTTTTTTTTTTTTTTTGAGCTGGAGTCTCGTACTGTCGCCCAGGCTGGAGTGCAGTGGCACAATCTCGGCTCACTACAACCTCCGCCTGCTGGGTTCACACAATTCTCCTGCCTCAGCCTCCCAAGTAGCTAGGATTATAGGCACCCACCACCATCCCCGGCTAAGTTTTCGTATTTTTAGTAGAGATGGGGTTTCACTATGTTGGCCACACTGGTCTCGAACTCTCGACCTTGTGATCCGCCCACCTTGGTCTCCCAAAGTGCTGGGAGCCACACACCCAGCCACATCTGTGTTTTCTTACTGAAGAACAAAGTTCTCCATTCAGGTCTTCTTTCATGCTCCTTATTAATTTTGTAGTTTTCTTCATTTAGGCCCCACAGATACCTTGTGAATTTCACTCTTGTTATGGATAACATTTTCTGGTGTCTGCAGGCCACTGATACTTCTCTCTCTCTTTTTAAAATATATATTTCATTTTAAATAGAGACAGGGTTTCGCCATGTTGGTCAGGGTGGTCTCTATCTCTTGACTTGGTGATCTTCCCGCCTCAGCTTCCCAAAGTGCTGGGATTACAGGCGTGAGCCACTGTGCCCAGCTGCCACGGATACTTCTCATGCCACGTTTCCCTGTGGCTTTGTGGCACACAAAAAAGCCAGTTCTCCTGGACATGAATTTTGTATCCACTTGAGCACTCGATTGATTTATCCACCCAGCTTTCAGTTATTTTATTTTGGTTTTCCAAGTATATAATCATATTTTCTAAAAATAGTAATTTTTGTCCTCTGCAAATGTATTCTATTTATACTTTGTATTTCTCTCGCCTATTTGCAAGGAATTCCAGAACCGTGTTAAATACTAGTTGTCAGGAACTGCCATAGGAATGCTTGTGGAATTTCACCACTGACCCTGAGCCTGACTTTTGGTTTAAGGGAGTTCACATTTTTCTCGTATTATGGAAAGCAGATGATTTTAAACACAAGATAACCCAATGTGCCGTTTCCACGGGGAGAAACCGAGGCCACTCCTAACAGACACCGTCGGGAGCCTGCGTGTCGCTGTGCGCGCACGTGTGGGGTGCGGTCCCTCCGGGTGTGAGCGCCTGTGGCCGCTCGCCTGCAGGGCCTGCCCGTCTGTTCTGTTTCTTTCCTCCCGCCTCTGTCCTGCTGCACCCACCCTGGCAGGGGCAGGACGCTGCCCGCGGCACCCCAGACCTCCCCTCCCCCCACAGGATCAATGGCCACCCGGGGAAGTCCACGCGCCTGGCGGGCTTGTGGAAGCTGGAAGAGGTCAGTCACCCCCCCAGGCTTCACGCCGCGCCCCTGAGCCACCCCGGTCCCCTGACCCTCCCCGGGACCTCTCCCTGACCCCCCTCCCCCGTCTGACCCCGCAGTGCCACGCCAGCGGCTGCATGATGGACCTGTTCGTGCAGATGGCCATCATCATGGGCCTGAAGCAGACGCTCAGCAACTGCGTGGAGTACCTGGGCCCGTGAGTGCCCCCGCCCGGCCCCGGCAGCCCCGGCCCTCCGCCCGCGCCCTCCCCACGCTGTCTCGCCCGCAGGTGGCTGGCGCACAAGTTGCGCTCCAAGCAGGCCTCGGCGCCCGCCGGGAACCCGGAACTCAGGGACTGGCAGCGAAACTACCTTCTGAACCCCGTCAACACCTTCAGCCTGTTCGACGAGTTCATGGAGATGAGTGCGTGGGCGCTGGGGGCGGGGTCCCCGGGACGGGTGCGTGGGGGGGTCCCCGGGACGGGAGCGTGGGCGCTGGGGGCGGGGTCCCCGGGACGGGTGCGTGGGCGCTGCGCGGCGGGGTCCCCGGGACGGGTGCGTGGGCCCTGGGGGCGGGGTCCCCGGAGCCGATCGTGGGGCGCCCACGAGCGTGACCCCCACCCCGCAGTGATCCAGTACGGCTTCACCACCATCTTCGTGGCCGCCTTCCCGCTGGCGCCGCTGCTCGCACTCTTCAGCAACCTCGTGGAGATCCGCCTGGACGCCATCAAGATGGTCCGGCTGCAGCGGCGCCTGGTGCCCCGCAAAGCCAAGGACATCGGTCAGGCCCGACGGCCGCGGGATGGGCGGGAACCGAGCTCAGCCTGTGGACCTCCCTCTGGCCCCCGGGCTCTCCTTGAAATAATCTTTCCGATCTCACCCCGTGGACAGACCCAGCCCTTCTCCAGAGGCCTGGGATGCGGGTTGAGCCTGGGTCGGGGGGAGGGTCCCAGGAGTGGGCAGGGCCCTTCCACAAACCGTCAGGATCTCAGAGGGGCTTGATGCCCCCAAGGGGGACCCAGATGCTGCCAGTGGCTGGGGCAGGAACAGAACAGCTGGCCTGTGTCCCAAGATAGGCCACACTGAGGGGGTAGCTAGCAGGGGAGTGACCAGGGCTGGGGCGCTGGACATGGGGAATGCGGGTGGGGTCCTGGGGAGGCCCCCAGTCTTGAGCCCGGGTTGTGAGGTCCTGCCCTGGGGTGGGAACCCAGGAGGTACAGGGGCTTGGGGGCAGCTGAGAAGTTCAGGAAGGTGGAGGGGTGAGGCTTCCTGGGTCCCTCGATGTCCACCTCAGGGTGAGGGTGCAGGAGAGCTGAGGCCATGCTCTGCGGGGAGCTGGGGACTTCCCAGTGAATTCCGTGGCCCTGGAGCTGCAATGGGACGCCATGCATAGAGACGTGGAGGGCCCTTGTGGGCAGGTGGGGGCAGAGCTGGCCGAGGGAGGCTGGAAGAGTCCAGCCGCTTGCTCGCTGCTCTGTGCAGGGACCTGGCTCCAGGTGCTGGAGACCATCGGCGTGCTGGCGGTCATTGCCAACGGGATGGTCATCGCCTTCACGTCTGAGTTCATCCCTCGAGTGGTCTACAAGTACCGCTACAGCCCGTGCCTCAAAGAAGCCAACTCCACAGTCGAGTGAGGCCTCCCAGTGTCTGGAGACCCCTGGGAGAAATGTCCTTCCACAGCCAACCCCGGGGGGACTGGGGGGGGGACCCAGACTCTCTCTTGGAAGTGGCTGGATCTGCCGGTACCCCTGGGACTGCAGTGAGGCTGGGGCCGGGGGTGGCCTGCAGGCCCTGGGCTGAGGGTCAGGAGTAACTGACCGGGACTGCCCGCGTGTCCTCTTCTGACTTACCTGGCTTCTCTGACGTCAAAGAGCCACCAGGCCGCAGACTGGGTCTCCAGGGTCAGTCCTTGGCAGGGAAGGCGGCTGGTGATGTCCAGAGTCCCCGCAGGCCCTCAAGCCCCCTGGATGTGAAGATGTGCTTGGCCCGGGGGCCCGTCCCACTGGTGGCTGTCTGTGGTGTGGCCTCCATAACGCAGGCTAGAAGCACCCTGGGGCCTGGAGGGGCGGCCTGGAAGCCCACCCCCGCCCACACTCCTCTCCCCCTCCCCAGCTGCCTCACGGGCTATGTCAACCACAGCCTGTCTGTCTTCTACACCAAGGACTTCCAGGACCCTGATGGGATTGAGGGCTCAGAAAACGTGACTCACTGCAGGTTTGGAACTCCCCTTCCCCCACGAATGCCCTCTGAACTCCTGACCCCTGACCTCGGGTGCTCCCTCTCCGCAGGTACAGGGACTACCGCCATCCCCACCATTACACCCTCACCAGGAAGTTCTGGTTCCTTCTGGCCATCCGCCTGGCCTTCGTCATCCTCTTTGAGGTGAGGCAGAACCGGGAGAGGCCACGGAGTGGGTTAGGGCAGTTTTCTCTCCAGTCCTCCTCCCCGGCCCCGAGCGCCCAGATGCCTGCTGGCACCTGATAGTGCTGGGCCTCTCCTGCGCTGCTCCTAGCACGTGGCCTTGTGCATCAAACTCATTGCCGCCTGGTTCGTGCCTGACGTCCCGCAGTCGGTGAAGAACAGGGTTCTGGAGATAAAGTACCAGCGTCTGCGTGAGAAGATGAGGGAAAGGCAAAGGCTGGGCAGGGTGCAGATGGGCCCTCAGCCCCCGACGCCCACCTATCCCACCCCAGCCTCCATCTTCAGCGCCAGGAGCACAGACGTGTAGGGTCAGAGCCTGTCTAGAGGCCCTGGCCCCCAGGAGCTGAGACAGTGCCAGCACCAGCACAGCTCCCACGGGGCCTCCCGCTGTGCGTGTGGAGGGAGGGGGGCTGCAAGCTGTACCCATGGGGGCTGCAGGAGTTCCCTGTACGTTCGGGGCATCGCCTGTTCTGCCTGCTCCGTCTCTGTGGGTGCTCTCAAACTTGGAACTGGGAGTGGGACTTCTCAGGCAGCCACAAGGCAGTAAAACTGGGCCAAGTTTCCTGGGCCGCTTCTGACTTCTGGGCCGCAGATTCTGCTGTGACCCCATTCTGGGTGTTGGGAGGCGGCCTGAGCCCACCTCGCCAGCCTGTTCCCTTGGGCCAGCAGTTTCTGTAATAAAATTAAACCTATTCGTCTTGCTTTCTTGGCCTTGCTGGGCCCTAGGGAGGATTATATCTGCCCTCAGGGATAGATGGGAAACTGAGGCACAGTGTGGAAGGTCTGGAAGCAGGTGAGGGGCAGCCTCAGACCCTGGCCCTTCTACGGTAGGGAGGGACACCTATGGGGGTCCTCTCGTCCCTGCACCTGGGGTGCTGAGGGTGACAGAAGACATGGGGTCACTTGGGGGTGGGGTGGGGGTCAGGACAGGCTTCCTGGAGGACACGAAAGCAGCTCCGAAAAGTCCCCAAGGCTCTGGGGCTCCGCACACTGGTTGGGCTGGTTTGACCACTGGCCCCAGGCCCGGCGGCCACGGCTCCCCGGCAGCGGTACCGCTTCCAGTGCCAGCCTCGGGCGCAGAGCGGGACGCTTGGGTCCGCCCCCGCCCTGACTGCGGGGCGGGGCCGCACCTGCTGCCGCCGCCGGGGCCGTCGCCGCTGCGCACCTGGCTCAGGTGAGCTGCCCCTCCCCCGCCCCGCGCGAGCCCCAGGTCCAGGCAGCAGGTGAGTGGCGGTGCCATCAGACCCGCGAAGGTGAGTGGAGGCCGCTGTCCTCCCAGGGCCGCTCCAGGCCTGGAGTCGGGGGCCGCGGCGCTGCTTGTCCCTGGGCGCGGTCTCTCAGGAAGCGGCTCGGAGCCAGGGAGGCTCCCGCGTCGCCCGGAAGCCCGAGCTCGCCCGCGTCCTGGCCCCTTCCAGACCTGGGGAAAGGAGGGACAGTGGGCGAAGCGGGCCGGGAGCCCTTTCCTCTGCCCGACCCCCGCGCAGGAGGACAGAGCGGGCCGAAGCGCGCGGGGAATCCCAGCTCCGTCCCCCAAGCCTGGATCCCGGCTCCAGACGTCCTACGGCGCCGAGGGCGACCCAGAGTCAGGCTGGGGCCGGAGCTCGCCGGGCGCCGGGTGGAGCTTCCGCCATCCGCGCGCCTGTGCCCGGGCGAGCGCCCCGAGCCGCCCCCGTGCGTGTCCCGGTCCCTCCACTCTCCGCACCTGAAGGGGCCGGGAAGGGGAGCGAGATGCGGCCCTCGGCCTGCGGGGCCGCTGCCTCCTGCGCAGGTTCCCGCTTCAGGGCAGGCGCGCGGGGCCCAGCGCGCACCGGGAGCGGAGCGGCGGCGCGTTCGGGCTGCGCGGGAGTCGCGCTCAAGCTGCAGGGCGCTGCGCGCACCGAGGACGCTGGTTGGGTCTGAGGGTGGGAGGAGCTGGCGCTTTCTGAGACCCTCAGGGTGCCCGGCAGAGCGTGGTGGGCAGTGCGAGGCCGCCAGGGCCAGGCTGGGACTGAGATTCCCAGCCCCAAGCGGCTGAGGGCAGGGCCAGGGGCCAAAGGAGACCCGATTCCGTGGGCAGTACCAGCCAGCAGTCACTGGGTCTCCAGTCCGAGGTCAGCCTGGGGGTGTCCGTGTGGTGACAACGGAGAGGCCGTCTGCCCCCATCTGCTCTGAGCCAGGAGCCTTGGCCAGCTGTGTTTGCTCCTTATCTGGAAAAGGGCGCACTGCCCTTAGCACCCCAGCCTGAAGGGAAGGTCCAGACTGCTCATCCCCTGGGGGCCCCTGCCCGGAACAGGGACAGGAAGAGGGCCAGAGAACCCTGTTGGAGCCCCGGGGTTGGCTTGAAGTTCCGGAAAGGCCCTGTCCCCTGGGGTCAGAGGTCAGAGACGCATGGGGGAGCAAAGCAGCTGGCCCCTTGGCTCCTGAATGTGACCCCTAGTGCTGACTGGGAAGCACAATGCAGACGGCGCAGCCCCGTCCCCCCCGCGTACATGCACAATGGCCCTGGCTGCGTTCTCCGTGCCAGGAGGACGCCCCATTATCCCTGGAACCTGCCCCTTTGAGCACCCTCCCAGCCCCCAACATACACACACACACACACACACACACACACACACACACACACACACTGCACAGAGGAAAATGCCATGCCTGGGTTGGTTGGGGTGGGCCCCAGAGGAAGGAGCCGCTTGACTCAGAGCTACAGGAAGAGCTGGGGCAGGCGGGGCAAGAACCACCACTGCCCGCCCGCCCGCCTAGGGAAGGGGTGGGTGCCTGGGTGGGGTTTAGGTTTAGGAGAGGATGTGACTGCAAGGCCAGGAAGCTACAGGCAAAGTTCTGATGAAAATACACATAAACACACGCCAGGTCCTCACGGTGCTCGGCGATGCATCCGGGGCAGCCTAGGTGCTGTGGACACTCCCTGGGGCCCAGCGGAGGGGACCGTTCGCTCCCAAAGGCACATCCATGACCAACATTCCCCCATCCCCAGAGAGAAGAACTGGAATCAGGTGACCGTGCCTTCCCTGCTGCTCTGAGTGAGCCTGAGGCAGGGCCTGTCCTTAGAACCGGGCCTGCTGAGGGGAGCCGGCGGTGCACAGGGCCGTGTGCATGTGTGTGCGAGAGAGAGGGGCAGCAGGAAGCTGTGAGTGGCGCTTTGGTGGCCAAGGGTGGGTGTGAGGTGCAGTGTGTATGCCGTGGGGTGCTTGTGGCCCTGGGCTCTGTGACAAGTGTTGCAGTGGGTGTCGCAGATACTCAGAGGGTGTGTGAGGTGTGTGCAGCCTGAGCTGTGTGCAGAGGTAACGGGAGGTGTGTGTGATAGGAAGTGTGCCCATGTAGGAGGCGCAAGTGTGCGCGGACTGAGACTGAAGCTCAGTGCAGGTGTGCATAGGCCAGAGGGCTATGTGTGATCATGCAGGGGAGGGGGTGCAGGGGAGAGGGTGCAGGGGAGGGGGTGCAGGGGAGAGGGTACAGGGGAAGGTGAGCAGGGGAGAGGGTACAGGGGAGGGGATGCAGGGGAGAGGGTACAGGGGAAAGTGGGCAGGGGAGGGGGTGCAGGGGAGGGGGTGCAGGGGAGAGGGTACAGGGGAAGGTGGGCAGGGGAGAGGGTGCAGGGGAGGGGTGCAGGGGAGGGGGTGCAGGGGAAGGTGGGCAGGGGAGGGGGTGCAGGGTAGAGGGTGCAGGGGAGGGGGTGCAGCGGAGAGGGTGCAGGGGAGAGGGTGCAGGGGAGGGGGTGCAGGGGAGAGGGTGCAGGGGAAGGTGGGCAGGGGAGGGGGTGCAGGGGAGAGGGTGCAGGGGAAGGTGGGCAGGGAAAGGGTGCAGGGGAGAGGGCGCAGGGGAGAGGGTGCAGGGGAAGGTGGGCAGGGGAAGGGTGCAGGGGAGAGGGCGCAGGGGAAGGTGGGCAGGGGAAGGGTGCAGGGGAGAGGGCGCAGGGGAGGGGGTGCAGGGGAAGGTGGACAGGGGAAGGTGGGCAGGGGAAGGTGGGCAGGGGGGTGCAGGGTAGAGGGTGCAGGGGAGGGGGTGCAGGGGAGAGGGTGCAGGGGAGGGGGTGCAGGGGAGAGGGTGCAGGGGAAGGTGGGCAGGGGAGGGGGTGCAGGGGAGAGGGTGCAGGGGAAGGTGGGCAGGGGAAGGGTGCAGGGGAGAGGGCACAGGGGAGGGGGTGCAGGGGAAGGTGGACAGGGGAAGGTGGGCAGAGGAGGGGTGCAGGGGAGAGGGTGCAGGGGAGAGGGTGCAGGGGAATGTGGGCAGGGGAGGGGGTGCAGGGGAATGTGGGCAGAGGAGAGGGTGCAGGGGAAGGTGGGCAGGGGAGGGGGTGCAGGGGTGAGGGTGCAGGGGAGAGGGTGCAGGGGAAGGTGGGCAGGGGAGGGGTTGCAGGGGAGGGCATCTGCTTTCTTGCTGTGCTCATATCCTGGCAGTCTGCCCTTGACTTCCAGAAAGTTCTGAGGCTGCTTTTGGAGGGGCTTTTGGAGGGAGGGGTTTGAAGTCTGAGCTTGGGGCGGTCAGGGGTCTGCTGGGCTGGGGTGTGTCCTCCTGAGCTGGCTGTGAGGGGTTGGTCGCATGAGGAAGTGTGCATTTTATGGCCCCTCCGTGGGTGGTTCCCGTGGGTCAAGGCCCTTCCTTGGACTGCCCTCCACTGCACAGGGCTTCTTCCGGGACCCCCTTGCCATCCTCCGTGGGAGCGTGCCTCATGCTGCTTCGGTCCCTGGGGAAATGCCAAACAGCCAAACCTGGGCCTCTGGCTGTGCTTAGTCCAGGCAGAGGAACAGGTAGGAGGCTGAGAGGGATGTCCCTGCCACAGCCTCCAGGGCCTTCGGGGTGGAGTCCCAAGGAGGCTGCAGCACCTTAGGCTTGATCCCCTCATCCCCACTCCCACTGTGCCCCTGCCTCAGGGAGGGGAGCCGACAGTGCCTGTTGGATAAACGGGGTGATGCTGTGGCATCCAGTGAGGAGGGCCCCAGGATGCCAAGGAAGAGGCCCAGGGCTTCTCCCTGTAGTCACCCCACTGAGGAGCTCTGGGAGACGTGAGGTGCACGTGGCTGCTGCCATGGGCCGGGAGAGGGTGCAGGACCTGGGCCCAGGGACCAGGAAGAAGGGGTTCCTGTGTGCCCCTCAGAGCTGCCTCATCCCAGCCTGGCCCCGTTCAGTCTCCTGCCTCACAACCTCAGGGCGAGGCTAAGCTTAGGGTTCCGGAGGTGTGAGGTGTCTGTGCTCAGGTGCACTACGGACTGCATTGAGGTGTGGCCCAGGGTCCCAGCTGGGCACCCGCCCCATGGCACAGGGCATATCACACCCCTGCCCAAGGCCAGGCTGTGTCACTGGCACAGCAGCACGCCCCTGCAGTGGCAGCTCCGTTGAAGGAGACAGCCAGGGGTGAGGCCAGCTGCCATCTCGGAGACAGGGTCTCATCTGGGGTATATCCGCTGCACCGCAAGGTCATCATGGTGGCCCCGGGCCGGTGGAGGTGGTCCTGGACTTGAGGGGCCCTCCCTGTCGTCCTGGGCTGTGTGAGGTGGTGCCCATTCTGGCCACGTGTGAGGGGCTCAAAGAGACGCCCTGCTGGCCTCTGGGAGCTCTGCCAGCATCCACAAGGCTGCTCCGGGTGGCATCTGGTCAGGCCCAGTGCTGTCTGCAGCCGGCAGTTACTGGTTAACTCACCCTGTTCCTGTTTAACTTGTTCCCTGGGGATGGCGGCAGCCTCTGACCCATCCAGGTGCTCTGTCCAGCTGACTGCAAGCAGAGAGGAATCCTGCCCAGCTCTTGGATCAGGCTGCTTCGCCGAGGAGCCCTGTGGAGCTGGGGGTGGCCCCGGAGCTCACCTTGCCCTGAGGAGGCCCTGGCTCAGAGCCATGCCAGGTAGGCAGATCCGAGAGGGATGGGCGCGAGTCCCCAGTTCCACCTCCTGCCCCTCGGGCTGACTCCATGTCATGCATCCTGCTCTTATCCCAGGCTCTGCGTGGCCACATGCCGGGGTACAAAGGCCCTGCTCACTCCTCCCCCTGGGCCCGTGGCCCCCAGGGCGGGTGGTGAGGATAGGCGCCTTGCATCCTCTCCTGCACCAGGCCTCCAGTCCAGGCCATGAGGAGTGGGCACTTCGGGGACCATGGTGGCGTTGTGGGCGATGAGGGCTGGTAGGAGACCGCACCCGACCCAGGAGATGGTGGTCTGGCCTTCCACTAGGGCTCATCACCCTGATGTAAAGATGAGAAAGTCCAGGCCTCAGGTGGTGGGGAGGGCTTGCCTGTGGCCAGGAGCAGAGGCCCCAAGACCCCTGGGCCGGGGACAAGCCCAGGCCAGCTGCTCCCGGCTCCCAGCTCTGCCCATCCAGTGGAAGGTGCTAGCGCACACTGGGCATCTGGGTTCCCAAACCTACCAGTGCCCACACTCCCTGCAGATACCCCAGCAGAGGCAGGCCGGGCTGAGGGGTGCAGTGCCCTGCCCCTCCTCTGAGACGGGCATCACGGTGTCACCAGGGGTGGGCACCAGGCGCATCTGGGAAATGGGGGGACAGACTCATGTCCTGGGTCGACAAGCAGCCAGATGAGCCTCATGCGTGGGCCTGGGGCAGCTCAGCTGTGACTGGCCACTGCTCTCTGTCCCCTCGGCACAGGGCGGGCAGAACACACAAAGCCTGGCCACTTCTGGGGGAAGACGTGCCAAGTGCCACGCCCGTCCGGTGGGACTCGTGGGCAGACATAGTGTGACCACCACACCACACGGAGGCCTTGTTTCTTCCTGTCCTGTGGGCCCCTGTGGAGGTGGCGGGGCCGGGCACCCTGGCACAGCTGACCCACTATGTCCTCTCTCTTCAGGTGTCTGCAACAGGGCCCCTGACTTCCTCTCCCCAGCTGAAGACCAGGTGCTGGGGCCTGCCTTGGGCAGCTCAGTCACTCTGAACTGCACGGCTTGGGTAGTCTCTGGGCCCCACTGCTCTCTGCCTTCAGTCCAGTGGCTGAAAGATGGGCTTCCACTGGGAAATGGGGGCCACTACAGCCTCCATGAGCACTCCTGGTAAGAGGCCTGGATATCCAGGGTCGGAGTAACCCCTCAGACATGCCAAGGCCAGTGGTCTCCCTGAACTATGCCAGGGTCCAGAACCACCTGGACAGACATGTGAGCAGAGTGTCTCTGTGGCCCCAGACAGAGGGTCAGTGATGTCAAGGACAGACCTGGGGTCTGCATGGCCCCTGTAGACACACACCTTGTACACTGCCCGGGGCTCTGGGTGTCAGCAAGGTCTAGGGCCTGAATGAACGTCAACCATCTGGCCAAGCCTGCCATCAGAGAACCTCCAGACCCCACACCCAGGACTGGGATGGCTGTTCTGAAACAAATCTGCACCCCCTCCAGGTTCTGGTCATTTCTCTTGGCTTAAGGCCTAAGAACCACCCAGAGGCCCAATTCTGCAGCCTCCCTGGGAGAACCCAGACAGGTGGGGTTTTGGGGTGTCCACTGGTATCCCCAGTGGACCCTGACCCTGGCTTGGTATCCCCAGGTTCAAGGCCAACTCATCAGAGGGGTTTGTGTCCAGTGTCCTGGGGGTCAACGTGACCAGCGCTGAGAACTATGGGGCCTTCACCTGCTCCATCCAGAACGTCAGCTCCTCCTTCTTCACTCTTCAGAGAGCTGGTGATGGGGGTTCCCCGGGTAGAGGGTAGGAGGCGACCTCAAGGCTTGGGAGCTCCTGGAGGGGCGGTGGCTCAGGCGACCCATCCGCAGGCCTTGCAAGCCACGTGGCTGCGGTGCTGGCCTCCCTCCTGGTCCTGCTGGCCCTGCTGCTGGCCGCCCTGCTCTACGTCAAGTGCCGTCTCAACGTGCTGCTCTGGTACCAGGACGCGTACGGGGAGGTGGAGATGAACGGTGCGTGGGGCCCGCGTGGGCAAGGAGGGGTGGCCGCGGCCTCCCTGAGGCTGCGCCCTGAGCTCCGCTCTGGAGTCGTGGGGCAGGGAGGCATCAGCCTCTGGGGGCGCCGTGCTGGGGCTAAAGTCCGGGAAGGCCGGCGTGAGGCCTCGGGAGCCACCGGGATGACCGGCCGCCGTCCGCAGACGGGAAGCTCTACGATGCCTACGTCTCCTATAGCGACTGCCTGGAGGACCGCAAGTTCGTGAACTTCATCCTGAAGCCGCAGCTGGAGAGGCGTCGGGGCTACAAGCTCTTCCTGGATGACCGCGACCTCCTGCCGCGCGCCGGTATCCCGGGCCCCGCCCCCACGATCGGGCCCCGCCCGGAGGCCCCGCCCCCCGGAGCTCCGCCCCTTAGTCCCCCTGCCCGGCTCCTCCCCACCCTGGAGCTCCGCCCCACCCAGGCCCCGCCCCTATCCCCCGCCCCACCGGAGACCGCGCCCCCACCCAGGAGCTCCGCCCCGCCCAGGCCCCGCCCCCTTAGCTGCAGCGCCCAGCCCCATCCCACCAGAGACCCCGCCCCCATCCTGGAGCTCCGCCCCACCCTGGAGCTCCGCCCCACCCTGGAGCTCCGCCCCACCCTGGAGCTCCGCCCCACCCTGGAGCTCCGCCCCACCCAGGCCCCGCCCCTTAGTTCCCTCGCCCGGCCCCGCCCCACCGGAGGCCCCACTCCACCCTGGAGCTCCGCCCAGTCCCCGCCCCATCGGAGACCCCGCCCCCGCCCTGGAGCTCCGCCCCGCCCAGGCCCCGCCCCTTAGTCCCGCGCCCCCGCCGCCCGCGCTCCCGCAGAGCCGTCCGCAGACCTCCTGGTGAACCTGAGCCGCTGCCGGCGCCTCATCGTGGTGCTCTCGGACGCCTTCCTGAGCCGGGCCTGGTGCAACCACAGCTTCCGGTGGGTCCCGCGCGGGGTGGGTAGGCCCCGGCGTGGCGCCTCCCCTGACGGTCCCGCCCCGCAGGGAAGGCCTGTGCCGGCTGCTGGAGCTCACCCGCAGACCCATCTTCATCACCTTCGAGGCCCAGAGGCGCGACCCCGCGCACCCCGCGCTCCGCCTGCTGCGCCAGCACCGCCACCTGGTGACCTTGCTGCTCTGGAGGCCGGGCTCCGCGGTGCGTGGGGGGCGTGGGGGGGGGCCGGGGCGCGCGGCTCCGCGGTGCGTGGGGGGCGTGGTGAGGACAGGGCGCGCGGCTCCGCGGTGCGCGGGGAGCGTGGGGGAGGCGGGGCGCGCGGCTCCGCGGTGCGCGGGGGGCGTGGTGGGGCGGGGCGCGCGGCTCCGCGGTGCGCGGGGAGCGTGGGGGAGGCGGGGCGCGCGGCTCCGTGGTGCGCGGGGGGCGTGGGGGGGCGGGGCGCGCGGCTCCGCGGGGCGCGGGGGGCGTGGGGGAGGCGGGGCGCGCGGCTCCGCGGTGCGCGGGGGGCGTGGGGGAGGCGGGGCGCGCGGCTCCGCGGGGCGCGGGGGGCGTGGGGGGGCGGGGCGCGCGGCTTCGCGGTGCGCTGGGGGCGTGGGGGGGCGTGGGGGGGCCGGGGCGCGCGGCTCCGCGGTGCGCGGGGGCGTCGGGGGTCCGGGGCGCGCGGCGCGTTGCAGATGGACGGCGTGGGCCCTGGGGGAGGGTTCTGCTGTCCGGGACCCGCTGTAGGGAGCGGCCCTGGAGGCCCTGGAGCCGTGGAATAGGTGCTGCAGCCGCTAGGCTCTTTGGGGCCAGGGCGCCGGGGGCTGACGATGTGCGCGCCCTCCCACGTGTTTACACTGCAAACTGCCCCAACCTGGCCCCCAGACTCCTTCCTCCGATTTTTGGAAAGAACTGCAGCTGGCGCTGCCGCGGAAGGTGCACTACAGGCCAGCGGAAGGAGACCCCCAGACGCAGCTGCAGGACGACAAGGACCCCATGCTGATTCTTCAAGGCCGAGTCCCGGAGGCCCGGGCCCTGGAAGAGGGCGACCTGGGTATGCCCATCCAGCCCCACTTTGGACCGGAGAAGCTCAGCCCAGGGCGTAGCGGAGGCAGGCACAGGGCATACGGCCTGGAGGGGCCCCGGTGTTCAGGACTGTTCCTGGCACCGACGGCCCCTGCACAGCTTTTCTGCCCCGGGGGTGCTCGGCCCTGGGCATGCCTGGGAATATCCTGGGCCTCACAGGCCACCACTGCAGAGGCCGAGCTGGGACAGCCTCTAAGTGTGTCTGCGCCAAGGCTGTGGGTGGTCACCTCAGGCGTCTCGGTCTCCCCTCCCCAGGTGTCCCGGGGCCTGTCTTTGGAGAGCCATCAGCTCCACCGAGCACAGGTGGGGTCTCGCTGGGAGAGGGCCGGGGCAGCGAAGTGGATGTCTCGGACCTCGGCTCGAGAAACTACAGTGCCCGCACAGACTTCTACTGCCTGGTGTCGGAGGATGATATGTAGCCCCCACTCAGTGCAAGATGTTAAGGACAGCGGGTGCCAGGGCAGGGGGGTCGTTCCTCCGCTCAGCAGGACTGCAATCCCTGTCTGCAGCCCTGGGACCCTCAGGGCAAGGCTGTGGTCCCAGCGCCCCTCCCAGTACCAGAAAATAAAGAAAGTCCTTTTGGATTCGGTCTGGGCCTCAGTCTCCTCCCCTGCAGCAGCAGATTTCGGTTTGGCTTCCCCCTGGGGGGCTCTCTTGGCTCTCCTCCCCTCCCTCCCTCCTCACCCCCAAAATCACCAAGTCTGCCCCCTCCCCATCCCCCTTCGTAAGCTCAGGCATGTCCCTTGCTTACAGTAGGCTCCCTGCCTGGTCCCTGGTTGGGGATGTGACTGTCCCTAACCCTTCCCAATCCAGGCAGACCCTCAATGGGCAGGCCCCTAGAGACCTCAAGTTCTGAACTTCACAGACACTTTCTGTCTTAAGAATATCAACAGTAGGCCGGTGTGATGGCTCACGTCTGTAATCCCAGTACTCTGGGAAGTCGCGCGGATTACTAGGTCAAGCGTTCAAGACCAGCCTGGCCAACATAGTGAAACCCCATGTCTATTAAAAATACAAAAAATAGGCTGGGCGCGGTGGCTCAAGCCTGTAATCCCAGCACTTTGGGAGGCCGAGGCGGGTGGATCATGAGGTCAAGAGATCGAGACCATCCTGGTCAATATGGTGAAAACCCATCTCTACTAAAAATACAAAAAATTAGCTGGGCATGGTGGCACGTGCCTGTAATCCCAGCTACTCAGGAGGCTGAGGCAGGAGAATTGCCTGAACCCAGGAGGCGGAGGTTGCGGTGAGCCGAGACCGCGCCATTGCACTCCAGCCTGGGTAGCAAGAGCGAAACTCCGTCTCAAAAAAAAAAAAAAAAAAAAAAATTAGCCAGGTGTGGTGGTGTGTGCCTATAATCTCAGCTACTTGGGAGGCAGAGGCAGGAGAATTGGATGAACCTTCGAGGCAGAGGCTGTAGTGAGCCGAGATTGCACCATTGCACTCCAGCGCCCCACGACAGTGCAATACTTCGTCTCAAAAAAAGAAAAAAAAAAAAACAAACCAGTAACTTCACAACTAAACGGCCTGACTCTGGGTGAGATGAATGGGGTCCAAAGCCTGCTGGACCCCAAACCTCAGGCAGCCAGTGTGAGAGCCCCTGGTCCTGGCAACTCCAGGCCCCGGGTGGGTGGAGAGGGAGTTGGGTCCATTTGCTGCATGAGTACAGCCCACGAGGCAGCCCCCTCCCCCACTCCAGTCACCCCTCTGCTCTTGAGGCCCCCAGCTCTGCTCCATGTGTGCCTGCAGTCCCCCTGTGTCCACCTTGTTCCCTCTTGGGCCTGAGGTGCCAGTTGTCCCTCTGCTGGGCTCTCCCTGTCCTGTGTCCTCTGACGTTGGGAGGCTTGTGTGTGAGCCCAAGGGGTGGGTGTCCTCAGGGGCAGGGGGGTGCCTTGAGTCCAAGGATCAGCCGCCCTGGTCATGCTTCGAGCCACAGGCTCAGGCCAGCCATGGAAGGGTGCAGGGCAGTGACTGTTGACGGCCATCTTTATTCCCAGTGCTGGCTATCCCAAGATACTGCCAGGCCACAGCCAGCCCACCTCTGTCAGTGTGACTGGGTCACCACCCCACACACCTGAGCAGCCTCAAGCCCTGCCCCACCCCCTCCCTGCGGAAGCCAAGTCCCCAGTTATAAGCCCCTGTTCCTCCTGGTGGTCCAGGACTCTCAAAAGTGCACACAGGGGTCCCAGCGAGGGGCCCCTGGGTCATCAGCCTTCTCCAGGCTGGGCTGAGTCAGGCAGCCTGGAGCTGAGTCTCTCCCTTGGACGCTGGGTCACGTCACCTTCTCCTCGTGCAGGAGGCTTCGCCTATGGGCCCAGGAAGTCGTCCTTCCGAAAGCCCTTCTACAGAGGAGAGAGGGCACAAGGTCATGGCCTGCCTGCCAGTGCAGCCCTCTGCCCTCTGCCCACCTTGCACTGTGCTGGGTGCAGCCTAGACACTTCCTCTCTGCACTCCTGGTCTCCATCCACCCAGTGGCCTCTTCGCTGACTGCTCCCCGTGGGTTCCCATGGCCCTCTCCCCACGTCCCATGCCCCGCACCCGCATTTCTCGCCTTGGGCTCAGGGAACATACCGCCCGGAAGTCTCGGTGGAGCTTGTTGTATTGCCACAGGTTGGCCAGGAGGCTGGAAGCTGCCCGGGAGGACTTCTCACTGTCAGGGCTGAGGGTGGAGGGAAGTCAGGGGGACACACAGCCAGAAAGCAGGGGGCTGGGAGGGGCCAGGAGAACCCCCCGGCTGGGCTGCTGCAGGGCAGGGCCGACCCCCACCTGTCCCGCTTCTTCTTGATGAAGACGAGCTTTCGGAGCCCATCGAAGTAGAGCAGGTCCCGGGCGGCGATGGGGCTGGCCACCACCAGGTTGTTGAGCACGGCTATGATGTTGACCAGCACCTCCGCGGGCGGCGACTTCTCCCCCACGCTGCCCGGCAGCTTCTCGATCAGGTGGCTCACGACCTTGGTGGCTGCGGGAGGTCGGGGGTCAGTCTGCACCCCCACTCCAGCCACCCAGGCACTGGGGGTCCCCTGCCTCCCCCAAGGAGCTGTGTGCCTGTCTGCTCCACTGGCTCCAGTGGCCGGGATCCCCCACGTAGCCTGTGTGGACCCGCAGGGCAAGAACGGGACTGTTCGACTCACACATCTCGTCCTTGTTCCGTGCGTTCCGAGACAGGTTTCGGATGAGGCCGGTCAGCGAGCGCAGCTGGTGGTGGTCGGCAGTGCGGACACGGTCCAGCAGGGGGTTCAGGATCCGCTCCTGCTCCAGTGCCAGGCGGCTCAGCACCCCTGCCCACTGCGGGGAGAGAGGGAGGGAGGCCTCAGACCCTCACCTGGGGGGATCCTGCCCCTCTGGGGTCCCTGCATCCTCCTGCCACCCTGGGGCGGTGGGGACTCTGCTTCTGCCTCTGCGCCCCAGCCGGGGGCATCAGCCACAGGCAGGGTCAGGTGCCTCCCTTCAAACTCAGGGCAGAACCTAAATTCTCCCAAGGCCCAAGGCCTGCCCACTCGTCGCTGACCTCAGATGCTCAGGGGGGCCCGGGCACCCCCTGCCTCCTCCCCTCCCGCTCCCTCTCCTGCCCCTCCCCCCGCAGCATGAACTCCTGGGAGCCCCTGGGTCTGGGGGTGCGCCCACCCTGCGGTCGCCCGCCGTGATGTTCTGCAGCGCGCCCGCGGCCGCCTCCGTCGTGTGCCGGTTGAGCTCGCAGCGCTGCAGCAGCCGGTTGTACAGCCCCACAATCTGGGGGCTCCACAGCCACTCGAGGCCCTTGGGGTCCTTGGACACTTCCGCGAAGGTGAGCGCGTCGGCGGTGAGGGGCAGCTGCGCATGGCAGGGGCCGGGGTCAGAGGGGCCGGGGTCCGACCCACCCCCCACGTCCCGCCCAGGCCGGTGCCCGCCCCACCCATGCCCCGCCCAGGCCGGTGCCTGCCCGTCCCCCATGCCACGCCCGGGCCAGTGCCCACCCCCTCCACGCCCCGCCCAGGCCGGTGCCCGCCCGTCCCCCATGCCACGCCCGGGCCAGTGCCCACCCCACCCATGCCCCGCCCAGGCCGGTGCCCGCCCGTCCCCCATGCCACGCCCGGGCCAGTGCCCACCCCTCCACGCCCCGCCCAGGCCGGTGCCCACCCACCCCCCACGCCACGCCCAGACCGGTGCCCACCCCACCCATGCCCCGCCCAGGCCGGTGCCCGCCCACCCCCCATGCCACGCCCAGACCGGTGCCCACCCCGCCCACGCCACGCCCAGGCCGGTGCCCACCTCGCGCAGCCGCCGGCTCTGCGGCGTGAAGCAGCCCACCATCTCGCCCGGCGGCGCCCCGGCCAGGTCCCTGCGGCCGCGGCCCTCCAGCCGCTGCAGCGCAGACGGCGGCATCTCGTCGTACAGGCGGTAGGACAGGTTCCGCAGCACGCACACCGCGTTCTCCACGCTCTGCGGGCAGGGGCGCGGGTCGGGGCGCGGGTCAGGGCGCGGCGCCGAGGGCCACGAGACCCCTCCGCCGCGCGGCCCTCACCTTGTCCTCGCACTTGCCCACGTCCAGGGCGTGGTTGATGTAGGTGACCAGGGCGTCCACCAGCCCGTGGCACTCCCGCATTTTCTGGCGAGTGGCCTGAGAGGCTGAGCTGAGGTTCCTGGGGACGGAGCCAGATCAGAGCCCCCAGGGACCCCCAGACCCAGGCCCTGCCTTGGGCCCAGGCCGTGAGCACGATGCCGTCCCACTCTGGGCCCCGCGGGCCCCGCCCCCCGTGCGCCCCGTGCGCCCCGTGCAGTGTGTGGGGCAGTGGGCGCCGGGCCAGGCGGGGTCCCTGCAACACGCGTGCCTGCGGCCCCCACCCCTCTGCCGAGGCTGGCGCACCTGAGGAAGCCGGTGGCGTTGTAGAAGATCTCCGCCTCGGAGGCATTCTGCTGGATGAGGGGGGGACCCCCAGACCCCGACAGGGGGCTCAGCACCAGGTCGGTGAGCTGTTCCAGAGTGTCTCTGGCCAGGCGGTCCTTCAGGTGGTCGCTGGATGAAAGGTTCCACAGGATTCCTGGACGAGGGGGCGCTGCCATGAGCATCAGCCCCCCAATGCTGGGCGTTTCTGGGGATGGTGTGAGGCGGTCCTGCCTCTCCCCAGGCCTGGCCCTGTGTTCTGCTCATTCACGAGCCCCACTGGGGAGACCCTGGGGTGGCATCTGGGGTGACAGAGCAAGCAAGAGGGGACAAGCAGGTTGGGGTGTGAGCAGGCTGGGGGTGGAGGCAGCTTCCAGGAGACACAGCCGCAGAACAGGGTGGTCAGGGGTCCAGGAAAGAGGCAGGAGTGGAGGCCAAGTAGAAACAGCCAGCAAAGGGGCCAAACAGCAGGACGGGGGGTGGGGGGAGCCGTATGGGGTGGTGGGGTCGGCATGGAAGAGAAAGGACAGTCGGAGGAGGGAGGGGGACAGGCAGAGGGGACAGGCAGAGGAGGGGGTCAGGTGGAGGAGAGGACAGGCGGAGGAGGGGGACAGGCGGAGGAGGGGACAGGCGGAGGAGGGGGACAGGCAGAGAGGGGACAGGTGGAGGAGGGGGACAGGTGGAGGAGGGGGACAGGCGGAGGAGGGGGACAGGCGGAGGAGGGAGACAGGCGGAGGAGGGGACAGGCGGAGGAGGGGGACAGGCAGAGGAGGGGACAGGCGGAGGAGGGGGACAGGCAGAGAGGGGACAGGTGGAGGAGGGGGACAGGTGGAGGAGGGGGACAGGCGGAGGAGGGGGACAGGCGGAGGAGGGAGACAGGCGGAGGAGGGGACAGGCGGAGGAGGGGGACAGGCAGAGAGGGGACAGGCGGAGGAGGGGGACAGGCGGAGGAGGGGGACAGGCGGAGGAGGGGGACAGGCGGAGGAGGGGGACAGGTGGAGGAGGGGACAGGCGGAGGAGGGGGACAGGCAGAGAGGGGACAGGTGGAAGAGGGGGACAGGCGGAGGAGGGAGACAGGCGGAGGAGGGGACAGGCGGAGGAGGGGAGAGGAGGGGTCAGGTGGAGGAGAGGACAGGCGGAGGAGGGGGTCAGGCGGAGGAGGGAGACAGGCGGAGGAGGGGACAGGCAGAGGGGACAGGTGGAGGAGGGGGACAGGTGGAGGAGGGGGTCAGGCGGAGGAGGGAGACAGGCGGAGGAGGGGACAGGCAGAGGGGACAGGTGGAGGAGGGGGACGGGCGGAGGAGGGGACAGGCGGAGGAGGGAGACAGGCGGAGGAGGGGGACAGGCGGAGGAGGGGACAGGCGGAGGAGGGGGACAGGCGGAGGAGGGGGACAGGCGGAGGAGGGGACAGGCGGAGGAGGGGACAGGCGGAGGAGGGGACAGGCGGAGGAGGGGACAGGCGGAGGAGGGTGACAGGCGGAGGAGGGGACAGGCGGAGGAGGGGACAGGCGGAGGAGGGGGACGGGCGGAGGAGGGGACAGGCGGAGGAGGGGACAGGCGGAGGAGGGGGACGGGCGGAGGAGGGGGACAGGCGGAGGAGGGGACAGGCGGAGGAGGGGGACAGGTGGAGGAGGGGGACGGGCGGAGGAGGGGACAGGCGGAGGAGGGGACAGGCGGAGGTGGGGGACAGGCGGATTAGGGGACAGGCAGAGGAGGGGCCGGGCACAGGGTGCAGGTGGAGGAGGGGCCGGGTAGAGGGTGCAGGTGGAAGAGGGAGGACAGACGGAGGGGCAGGCGAAAGAGGGGCCGGGCAGCACCCGTGACGTTCTTGCGAAGCTCGTCGTCCTGCTCCCGCAGCGTCCGCAGCAGCTCGAAGATCCCGTTCTCCTCCACCAGCGCCAGCTTGTTGTCTGCGTTGTCGTAGATGAGGTTGCGCATGGCGCCCGTGGCGTGGCGCTGCACTTCCTGGTTGGCGTGGTTAAAGAGCTTCACCAGCCTCGGCACGGCCTGAAGGCTGCGGGCCTGTGGGCACAGGCATGTGGGGTGAACAGACTGTGCGCGTGTGTGCAGGTATGTCCAGGGGTATAGATGTGGATGTGCAGGTGATGCAGGTGCGTACGGAGGTGCAGAGGTGATGAGGTGTATGCAGGGGGACGGAGGAGATGCAGGTGTGTACAGGTATATGCGGGTGATACAGGTGTACAGAGGTGATGTATATGCAGGTGTGTACGGAAGTGATGCAGGTGTGTATGGGGCTATGGAGGTGATGCAGGTGTGTATGAGGGTACTGAGGTGGTGCAGGTGTATACAGGTTTATGAAGCTGATACAGGTATATCCAAATTGTACCCTCCTGCTCTTCCTCTACTGAGGGGGCTCTGGACAGAGTGCAGTCTGCCCAGTCAGCCTGGGGATCTTTAGGGGTGGTCAGGGAGCAGAGGTCAGTGGGAGGTGGTGGAGCCCCCAAGGGTGGTCACCTGGGGGCAGCGAGTGGGTGGTCAGGGTGTGGTCACCTGGGGGCAGTGAGTGGGTGGTCGGGGGTGGTCACCTGGGGACAGTGAGTGGGTGGTCGGGGGCGGTCACCTGGGGGCAGTGAGTGGGCGGTTGGGGGCGGTCACCGGGGGGCAGTGAGTGGGCGGTTGGGGGCGGTCACCTGGGGGCAGTGAGTGGGCGGTCGGGGGCGGTCACCGGGGGGCAGTGAGTGGGCGGTCGGGGGCGGTCACCTGCTTCTTGGCGGCTGCATCACTGTAGCACCTGTGCTGGATGTAGGCTGCTCCCAGCACCTGCAGATTGGGGTCTGAAGCCATGAGGTACTTGACTGCTGATGGCAGGTCGATGTCATCGAAACTGCAGAGCCAGGGGTCAGGGGTCAGGGGTCAGGCTAAACTTCGGTTCAGGCTGGGGCCATGGCAGAAGCCCCCTCCCTGTGCAGGCCCAGCCCCTCACCCGCTGCTGAGCCTCTGCAGGGTTCGGTGGCCACAGTAGCTGTTGAACTCACGCACGTCCGGCAGGTGGCCCGAGTCAGCTAGGCTGAGGCTGAGGCTGCGCACAGATGGCGCTCGGGCCACAGGCTCCAGGACGGGCCCAGGCGCTGTCCCGCCTACCCCGCGGCTCCGGTGGCTGCTCTGGAATCGCTGCAGGGTCCGCATGGCAGGGGCACGGATGGTCCGGCTCGGGGGAACCTCGCCGGCCTCTGGCCAGTCCAGCCCCCCTGCCCGGCCTGAGCTGGAGCTGGCCTGGCGCTCGTAGGCAAAGGTCCTGTAGGTGGAGGTGGCCGCGGGCTCCAGCTGCTCGGACACCACGCTGTGGCGGTCGTCCGGGCCCCCAGCCCCCAGCCGCAGGGAGCGCAGGGACAGCGTGTCATACTCGACCCGGCTCCCAACCCCACCATGCTCGTGGAAGGACACGGGCCTGATGGGCATGGGAGGGGTGGGCTGGGCACCCCCGTACCCAGCGGCCACAAAGGCGCTGCCCCCGTTGTGGGCAGAACTCAGCCTCCGATTGCAGCTCAGGTCCACGGCAGAGCGGGAGGACCAGGAGGCCGGGCTGCAGGCTGGCGTGGCGATGGGCCGGAAGCCCTGTGGGTGGAGGGGGCCGTGAGGGTGTGCCTGGCCCACCTGTGCCCAGCCTGCTGCAGAGCCTCCCGCCCTCCAGACTGCAGAGCCCAGATTGCCCCCTCGGGCTGGGCCGTCACTCACCGAGGTCTTGTCCCCACTCAGGCCCTGAGAGCGAGAGCTGAAGCCGGCCTGCAGGGTGTGGTACTGCCCCCTGGACGCACCTGCGGAGAGGGGCAGTGGGAGCCCGGATCTGCCAGACAGCAGCTCCCGGGCCGCCTGCCTCCTCTCCAGCAGTCCATCCCCATTCACAACCCGGGGAGCAGCCTCAGTCTCGGGCAGGGGGGCCGGGTGGCCCCGGGGCCAGTGCCTCCCCGTTCCTGCCACGTCCTGGTCTCCTCACCTGTCAGCCTGGTGGTCCACCTTCCACAGCCCACCCCCCAGCTGTGCCTCCTTTGCCCGAGAAGGCAGATGCGCTCACCCACTGACCTTCTGGTCCCTGGGGAATGTGCCAGGGACTCTCTGTCCGATCCCTGCCATGGTACAGCGCCCAGCCCCCTCCTCCAGGAAGCCATCCTGGCCTTCCCCGGCCCACACTGACTTCTTTTGAGCTCCTCCTCATCTGTGCCCAGACCTCATCTATGCCTGGTCACCGGAGAGTGGCCCTGTCTCTCTGGACCAGTATGTCCTGTTGCAGTGCCCTCTCCCACCTGGCAGAGCCCGAGGCAGAGGCCACACCCACCCCGTCCAGCCGCACACAGGCCAAGGGCAGCTGCATCAGCCCAGCCCCACAGTGAGTGGACAGACCGGCGGGGGAGGGAGGGGGGAGGATGGACTGACGGGCAGGAGGAGGGCGGGGGCCGCTGTGACTGTTGGAAGGATGGAGGAGCGGGGTGGAGAGTGAGCGCCCTACAGGCGGATGGCGACGGGAGGAACCCGTGGTGGGCAGAGTGGACAGGCTGGCGGTGGGGGCATCAGGGCCTGGCAGGGTGACCTGGCTGAGGTGCTCAGGGTGGGGTGTGGGAAGGGGGCCGTGGGCTCCCACAACTCTGCCCAGACTGGATGCTCTGTGCGGGACACCCCACATCAGGGGCCTCACCCATCCTGGTTAATGGGGTTTCCGGGCAGGGGCTATTAATTCTGTGATGCTCCTGAGGCCCAGCCTGGAGTGGGGGCCCGCCCCAGCCTGGAGACCTCACCCCCACCCCCAATTATAATTCACCTCCCTCTAATTGGCAGGGTAGCCGGGTGGTAATTAACCCTTCCCTCACCCTCCTCCACCCCATGACCCCTGGGCACCCAGCTTGGTCACCAGCAAGGCTGAGGCCCTGGGAGGGAGGACCCCTCAGTCCAGGCCTCGGGGCTGGCCCCTCTGCTGGGCGACTGTCACTCCCCCGGCCAGTGGCGGGAGGCCAGTCCTGGGGAGGCCCCTCTAAACACCAAGTGGACCACGACAAACTGGCATCTGGGTCCCTGGCATTCTGGGAGGTTCATCTTACTGTCTAACCTTAATCCCTGTTGCTGTAGCCTGGCAAAGGAGGAAACGACCACCTTCCACGCCCAGCGTGTGTGCGAGCCTGTCAGCTGCACTCACAGGCATACGCACTCACGAGAGCGGGGGTCCTGGCCGGCACCAAGGGTCCTCCTCCACCTGCTGTCCCCACAGAGAAATCTGGGTCACTCCGGCCGGCCCTCCTCTCTAATTCCTCAGGGAGCCCCTGGCCCAGACACGCCTGGCTCTCCTCCAGGACTTCTGGCGTCCCCACCCTCCCCGCCGTCCCGCTCTGCTCTTCCAACGAGGTGTGGGGGAGCGTGGGTGTCTGGGTGTCCCGAGACCCTGCGTGAGCCTGTGCCGCCTGGGCCAGGCGAGGGCGTGTTCCGGGCTTCCCGACCCAGGGGCCTGGCCCGCCTGCCAGGTGCCAGCCTTCCCGTCATCCCCCACAGGGAGGGCTCAAGGCTGGGCACAGGTGGGGCCCAGCCAGGCTCCACATCTGGAGGGCCCGGGGGTCCCTGCTTGGATGGGGCCGCCCCACCCATGGCTTCTCCCCACGCCCGTTGGGGCGGGGTGCATGACTCAGGGTGAGGCCTGGGTGAGTCAGGAGCTGAACCCTGGAGCCGGCCCGCCGAGGCCTCTGCCCCTCGCACGGTGCCCGCCGCCCCACCGTCCCCGCCGCCCGGCCTACCTCGGGCCGTCCCGGCCTCGGGCTCGGCGGCCCCGTTGTGCCGCGGCTGCTGTCCCAGCTGCAGGAGGCGGGCGCGGACCTGCTCCTGGACACGGGCCGCCCGCAGCCGCTCGGCCTCCGGCCCCTCTGCGCCCCGGCGGTCCAGCTGCAGGTCCGAGGGCAGCGCCAGGGAGCACACGCCGGCCTCCGGCTGCAGGGCCGACAGCAGGAAGTTACCGTCCTGCATGGCGGCGGGCGCCTGCCGTCCTGGGGCCTGGGCCTGGCGGCCGCCTCGGAGCCCCACTGTCTTCGCTGCGTCCCTCGAGGCCCTCTCCCGAAGTCCCCGCCCCGCTGGCCTCACCCACAGCCGCCTGGAGACAGACGCCTGCCCGGCCCTGAGCACAGCTGGGGGCGGGGACACCTGGCCAGGTGGAGGGAGGGGCCGCCGCCTGCTGAACACGGAATTTGGGTGGAAGAACAGGCCCCGCCCGCGCGGCCCAGCCTGGCCTCCTGCCTCCTCTTCTGCCATCCCACGACTGGGCCACGGGCCTGGGTCCTCCTTGTTCTCGGCCTGTAAAGGCCAGACTGGGCCCTTTGTGCTGGGGGTGGGACAGAGGGGCCCCCTGTGTCCTGAGTATCCGGGAAGGGCCAGGGGCCTGCAGGGGATGCGTCCCGTCACCCCCAGCCTGAATGGGAGCTGTCCCACCCCCGGGGGTCTAGGGCCCTTGGGAGCTCTGAGGACCAGGCAGCGTCCGTGGTAGCCCAGCCTGGCTGGGGAGGCGGGGCTGAGGCCAAGGCAGGGTTGGCAGGAGACAGTGTGGGGGGGGGGGGGGGGCCAGGGGTCAGTGCCAGGGGTCAGGACAAAGGCTGGAGGGGTGGAGCTTTAGGGTCCAACAGGACCCCATGGAGCCCTGGCCCTGGTCCTCAGAACCCAGCGAGCCCCTCCCCACCAGGAAGCCTGTGGATGGACCGGCCCTCCCCCTCGGCCTGTAGACCCTGGAACTCACCCCCAGGACCCCCTCACCCCCCACAAAGGCCTCCAAAGAGTGGGCTCGACCCCCTCTGGCCCCTGGGACCCTGGCACCACTCTGCTCCTGCACCCCAGGCCCTGGGGTGAGAGGCCGTTCCCAGCACATGAGTCAGGGTGCAGGGGGTGGGGCTGCCCCAGGGGGTTGACTCAGAGGGGCCTGGCACGCCAGGCTTGGGGCAGGAGTGGGTGTGTGGGGAAGAACCAGGGGGTCTGGGAGAGCAGAGGCTGGGGTGGAGAGGGTGGAGTGGGCAAGGGATTAGGGGTTCGGGGGGTCTGGGAGAGCAGGGGGTGGAGAGGGAGTGAGGGTGGAGTGCAGTGGGGCTGGAGGGGCCCAGATCGAGCGAGGCTCGTGCCCGGAAGATCTCCCTTGAGCACCACAGCCAGTGGGGCCCGCGGGACGGCTCTGAGGTTCTCTGGCCTCCGGGACAGGCCCTGGTAGATGGGGTGGGGGACAAGCCTTGGAGGGCTGAGGGCGGGAGCTGCACAGCTGTGACCCCCGGCTTCCCTCACGAGCTCATCCGACAGCCTGTGCTCTCCCTGGACCCTGGACCCCGGCTCTGGGCTCTCCTCCAGGGCAGACCCTTACCCCAGCCCCGTCCCCTGAAGACTTGCGCCCTAGTGGGGCTGGGGCCAGAAGTCTGGTGTGAGGGTAGGGTCAGGGCTGAGGGGCGGAAACTGGAGGCTGGGAGTCAGAGGTCAGTGTTGGGGGTTGGGAGACAGGAGGGCCCCTGGACGGATGGGGCCGCCAGGTGTGGAGGGGGACATACCTTGCCTGCGGTCCGGAGCCCACCAGCCTCCCAGCTCATCCCAGAGGCCACTGCGGATGGCCAAGGTGTCCTGGGCTCCATCCCCGGCCCAGCGTGCGGGGCAGCCTCCGTGGCAGGCCAGGACTGTGGGGGCCCCGGAGGGCGGGGTGGGAACGCCCAGCTCATCAGACTGGCTGCTTCCCTGGGAGACGGGTTTTGTGTGGAAAAATCCTGGGAGACAAGTTTGTGCGGCACAGAACGGGCTGAGGTATGTTCCTGGCACGGGCTGGGGCCCGCCCTGCACCCAGGGCCACCCCAGGCCCACCTGGGGCCCCACTGAGGCCAGGCTGGGCCTGGTGACGGGGAAGCCGGCCCGGATGGTCTCTGCAGCCCCGGCAGGCTGAGGGCTCACGAGAGGGCGCCGTGGAGGGGCTTCCGTGCGGCCCGGGCCGGGATGGGAACGTTGGTGCCCGGGGCCTGCGATTCTGCTGACCTTCCCTCCTCTGCTTGGCAGAGAGGGCTGCAGGTGCCCCCCCCCAGAGCTGCACTGCCTCCCTGAGGATGTGAGGTCCCTGCCAGGCAACTCTGGCAAAGCTGGGCATCTGGGCGCACCTTCGCTCACTGCTGCGATGCCAGCCGGGCCTGTCACTACAGCTCCAGCCTAGCCCAGAGGAGTCTTGTCCGACCCTGGGACCATCCCTGAGTGTCTCACATTCCCAGCAACCCTGGAGGAGGGCCTAGCGGTGGGCTTCCTGGAGGAGGCGGTTGTCCCTGGAGCCTGGAACCTGCCTCTGTCCTCAGGCCGCTCTGTGCACGGTCAGGTTGACAGCCTGGAACCTGGGAGCCTCGGAGGGCGAGTGAGTGAGCATCGCTCTTAGGTGGGTCCCAGGTGGCAGGTGGCCTGTCAATCATCTCCAAGAGGAGGTAGAAGAGGGCGCAGGAGGCCTTCAGGGGGCGGTGGGCTCAGCGTGGGGGCACGGGAGGCTCTCGGAGAAGGCGGGCTGGCCCAGGTGCCAGCCTAAGAGTTGTAGGAGGGCAGGGGAGGTGGGGTGGGCAGCTTGCGGAGCAGAAGGGGAAGAATCTGGGGAGAAAGGTGTGAGGATGTTAAAAGCAAAACAATCATCAAAACTGAACTGAGGAGGCTCTGAAGGCTGCCTCTGGTCCCACCACCGGAGGGGGAGGTGGGCAGTGCCTCGGGGGAGCCCCTGGGTGGTTGATGGACCCCGTGTGGGGGCACAGCTCACCCAGAGGCAAGCGTCCTGGCGCTTCCTGTTAGCACCCACGCTTACAAACCTTCCAAGCTGGGCTCCAGCCGAGTCTGGCCCAGGGCCCAGCCGCTCCACAGAACCTACAGGGCTGTCCGTGGGCACCAACCCCACCCTCTGGAGTGTGGCCAGGGGCTGGGACAGCTCTGAGATGTCCAGCCTTGGCCTTTGGCCTGGAAGGTAGCCGAGGGGTATGGCCCCATAGGCTCTTGGAGGGGGGGCCCTTTCATCTGCACACACCCCACCTACTGCCGGCCTGTGGGTCAGCCTGTCCATCCGTCTGTCCGGCATTTATGGCTCATTGGACGTGTTGGGCTCTTCGTAAGCCCCTGGCAAGGCTCTGGGCAAGGGTGTGTGTGTCTTGAGACAGGCAGGGCACCTCTGGGGGCTCTCCCAGGGTCTGTCAGGGCCTGGTGAGGTACAGACAGGGGACAGACAGCAGCTCACAAGCAAGGACGCTAGTCAGGACGGCTGGTGCAGCAGAGGCCTCTGGCTCCGGAGACCCTGTAGCTGCCCTCCAGACAGAGGGTCCCCAAAAGGACCTGAAGAGCCCAAAAGGAGCAGAGTGGCGTCTGACAGCAGGAGGGGGGTTGCGGAGTTGGGGGGGTGAGCGGGTGAGCAGGGGGATACCCTGGATGCTCTTCAGGAGGACAGCAGCCTCTGGATGGAGAATCAAGTAAAGGGCAGGGAGGGGAGGCGATGGCTGGTGTCCGGGTTGAGGTGGGGACGTGGAAAGCACCTGCCACCTCCAACCGCCCAACCGTGAGTGCCCTGTGCTGCCGGGTGCAGGTTGATGCAGCCTCCCTCAGGTGCCTGGGCTGGGGTCCTGGCGTGCGGCCAGGCACCACTAAACACTTCATTCTTACTGTTGTTGCTGTTACTGTATTTTTTTTTTTTTTTAGGACAGTCTTGCTCTGTTGCCCAGGCTGGAGTGCAGTGGCACCATCTCGGCTCACCACAATGTCTGTCTCCCAGGTTCAAGTGATTCTCCTGCCTCAGCCTCCCTAGTAGCTGGGATTACAGGTGTGTGCCACCGTGCCCAGCAAAAAAAAATTTTTTTAATGTTTTTGCATTTTTAGTAGAGATGGGTTTTCACCATGTTGGTCAGGCTGGTCTTGAACTCCTGACCTCGTGATCCGCCCACCTCAGCCTCCCAAAGTGCTGGGATGACAGGCGTGAGCCACCTCACCCCGCCTTCCTACTCTGTTCTTAATCCCCATTGGAATTCCAGAAGGGCAGAGCCATGACAGCTTCCGTTTTACAGGTGGGGAAACTGAGGCCCCACAGGCTACTCACTTTCCAGAAGTTACCAAGCAAGCCACGGTGTGTAGACAGATTTCATGCCCTGGGCCTGGGTGGGTTGGGGCTCCCGTTTGCTCCGTGCAGTGGTGTCTTGGCCGTGGCCGCTCGGATGGGCTGCTGCCATCACCGCCTCTGAAGAGCTCCATCTAACTGCCATCAGGAGAGGGACGATGCCGCTCTGACTCCGCATGCTGACGGGCCGTTGTTTTGGGAAAACGCAGCCAGGTCTCTCTTGGAGACCTGTCTAAGGGTTCCTGGAGAAAGGCAGCCATCATCGAGGCTCATTTGGGGCCTAACGGCCCATCCCTTTCGTTTCTTCTGAGCTGCAGTCAGAGGTCACTGGTCGATCGACCCCCACAACGGACAAAGCTACTTGATTCTGAAAAACAAAACAAAGGCTCAGCGTGTTCCAAGCAAAAAAGCCAAAAAAGGTGACTTCAGTCTTCCATTGGTTTAGAACACCCAGTCAATGCCTGTTTTCTGACTCCCCAGTTATAATCCGTGCTCTCAAGGCTGATCATCCAGCCTTTGAAGAGGGTCGAAACAAGACAGTGTCTGTGAACATCAGAACCTCCTACGGTAGTCACAGTCAAAAACCCAGCTGACAAAGGAATGCGGTCACCTCTGCGGTCTGTCATAGCCTAGCACAATAACCCTAATCACGCTTGGTAACACTCAGATATCAGGGTTTTAGAAAGTGCACACCATTCTGGAACACATATTAATATTATCCACTAAAATATAACCTGAAGATCAAACACCACCTGATTTTCATCATTCTATGTAACTAAACATGTCTTAAAACAATAGGCTAGGCACAGTGGCTCACGCCTATAATCCCAGCGCTTTGGGAGGCTGAGGCAGGTGGATCACCTGAGGTCAGGAGTTTGAGACCAGCCGGGCCAACATGGCTACTAAAAATCTAAAAAAGTAGCTGGGGGTGGTGGCGCACACCTGTAATCCCAGGTACTCGGGAAGTGGAGGTGGAGGCTGCAGTGAGCCAAGACGGCTCCACTGCACTGTGGCCTGGGTCACAGGGCAAGACTCCATCTCAAAAATCAAAAACAAAAACAACCACCCCCTCAAAAACATTTACTAGAATTTCAGGTTGACCGTAAGTCATCAATGTAGCCAAAGTGATGACTCAAATTTTTAAAAAAGCAAAAACTTTTACTCATTAAGAGCGAAGACTTATTTTTCTAAAGAGCCTGCCTCTTCTCCTTCCTCCCTTTTTCAGTAGTTTATTCATGAGGCAAACAAAAATATTTCATTACATGAAGATCTTGTTTGAGAGAAAAAGCCAGATTTCATCCTTGCATCAGTTTACCATTACTGTCAACCTCAGTTTTAAAAATGAAACCTTGCAGACAAATTAATCCAATCTTAATCAGTTTGACCACAAGGTGAGATTCTTATAACCCTTTTATAACCCTTTACAGATTTTCACAAAAGATCAGGTTAGTACGTCGAGAAAATCTTTTATTTTTATTTTTATTTTTATTTTATTTTATTTTATTGCATTTTAGGTTTCGGGGTACATGTGATGAACATGCAAGATTGTTGCATAGGTACACACATGGCAGTGTGGTTTGCTGCCTTCCGTCCCCTCACCTGTATCTGTCATTTCGTTGAGAAAATCTTGCTGTGCTTTTATTCCATCGTTTAATTTATGGATAAAGCAAATTATAATTTATTCCATCGTTCAATTTATGGATAAAGCAAATTATAACCTTTTGATTTTGGTCAATATAAATTTCTTTTATGAGATTAATTTTTATTTATAAACCTTCCACAATTTGTTCAAACCTTTAGCTTTTAAACATACTTTAACCCTCTAAACCCAGGTAGAAATTTATCTTTCATTCACCTCAGAGAACAAAAAAAAAAACAAAAGAAAAAGGAAAGAAATTTACCTTCCCTTGCCTTGTTATAATCTTTTACCAAACCACATTTTACTCTCCTTACACACCTTGCATGTAAATCTATTTTCAGTAGTCTCAATTACATGTGATAATGACAACTCTTGACATGTTTAATTTTGGTGTAGAACACGGTGAGTTATTTTAATTATGTATTAGGCGCAGGTAAGGTCTGGTTCTTCCCAGCATAGTTAGTGGTGTGGCTACGCTGTATGTCCCCAGCCTTCACCGAACTGTAAAGCAGGCAAGCTGAACAGTTTTCAGAAGCCAAGATACAATTTATGAGCTTGAAGCATTCATCAAACCCAGTATCTGACGTGTGTAATTGGGGCTGCGTGTACACTTCGAAGACATTTTAATTTTACTGACAATTTTAAAAACTTTTTATTTCTCAAAGATTAAAGTCACATGAACTGAAAGACATTACAACTTCTATTCTTTTTTAAGACTATTTGCCGGGCGCGGTGGCTCACGCCTGTAATCCCAGCACTTTGGGAGGCCGAGGCGGGTGGATCACAAGGTCAAGAGATCGAGACCATCCTGGTCAACATGGTGAAACCCCGTCTCTACTAAAAATACAAAAATTAGCTGGGCATGGTGGCGCGTGCCTGTAGTCCCAGCTACTAGGGAGGCTGAGGCAGGAGAATTGCCTGAACCCAGGAGGCGGAGGTTGCGGTGAGCCGAGATCAC